TTTCGGGCCTAGACCAAGAAGGGTCTAGGCCCGAAACGTCAGCCTTCCTGCTGCTCTGATGCTGCTTGGCCTGCTGTGTTCATCCAGCTCTACACCTTGTTATCTCAGATTCTCCAGCATCTGCAGTTCCTACTATCCCCAACCTAGTCAATCTCTCTTCAGACCTGCCATCCCCGAATCAGCCTGGTAAACCTTTGCTGCACTCCCTCGAGAGCAAGAGCATCCTTCCTCAGAAAAGGAGACCAAAACTGCACACAATATTCCAGGTGTGGTCTCACCAAGGCCCTGTACAACTGCATCAACACATCCCTGCTCGTGTACTTGAAACCTCAAGAAACCTCTCACTTTAAACCTATGGCCTCTAGTTTTGTACTCCCCTACGCTGGAAAAAAGACCTTGGCTATTCACCCTATCCATCCCCTCATGGTTTTATAAACCTCTATAAGGTCACCCCTCAGCCTCCGATGCTCCGAGGAATAAAGTCCCAGCCTATTCAGCCCCTCCCTTTTGCTCAATCCTGACAACATCCTTGTAAATCTTTTCTGCATTCTTTCATGTTTAACAATATCTTTCCTATAGCAGGGAGACCAGAACTGAATGCAGTATTCGAAAAGTGGTCTAACCAATGTCCTGTACAGCTGCAACATGATGTCTCAACTCCTCCACTCAATGTACTGACTAATGAAGGCAAGCATGCCAAACACCTTCTTCACCACCCTGTCTACCTGTGACATCACTGTCAAGGAACTATGCACCTGCACCCCTAGGTCCCTTTGTTTGGTAACACTTCCCAGGACCCTACCATTAGCTATACAAGTCCTGTCCTGATTTGCCTTTCCAAAACACAACACCTCACATTTATCTAATTTAAACTCCAACTGCCACTCTTCGGCCCATTGACCCATCTGATCAAGGTCCCGTTTTACTCTGAGATAACCTCCTTCATTATCCACTACATCAGTAATTTTGGTATCATCTGCAAACTTACTAACCAAACCTCTTTCGTTCACATCCAAATCATTTATATAAATGACGAAAAGGAATGGGCCCAGTACCAATTCTTGTGGCACACCAATGGTCACAGGCCTCCAGTGTGTAAAACAACCCTCCACCACCACCTTCTGTCTCCTACTTTCAAGCCAATTTTGTATCCAATTGGCTAGTTACTAGTTATTATTATTACTCGTTTTGGAATCTGAACGGAACAAAGCCTGTTATTGTGAACTTGGACTCAAATTGGAGCTATCACTTTACTTGATGCCTGGACTGAATTGCCAGGATTATTTGCTCCGTGTCTGGCCTGGAAGGGAACTTGCAGATGCCGGTGTCCCCATGCATCTGCTGCTCTTATTCTTCTAGGTTGCAGAGTTTGGAGGTGTGGAAGATGCTGTCAGAGGACCCTTAGCACATTGCTGCACTGGTGCAAGTACTCTTGATTTGTGCCTTGGAGATGGTGGACAGGTTTTGGGGAGTCAGAAAGTCAGTTACTTGCCACAGAATTCCTAGCCCCTGATCTGCACGTCTAGCTGCTCTATGTTTATACCTGGTTCAGTTATGTTTCTGGTAGTATAACCCTAAAATTTTGGGATTGGTGGGGGAATCAGTGATGATGGTGCCATTGAATATCAAGGGGAGACAGTTAAGATTCTCTCCTGTTGAAGATGAGAATTGACTTGTACAGTGTAGCATAAATGATTTGCAGCAGAGACCAGGATAATATTTAGGAGATAGTAGGTACTGCCAATGCTGGAGTCTGAGATAATAAGGTGTGGAGCTGGAGGAACACAGCAGGCGGGTCCCGACCCGAAACGTCAGCTTTCCTGCTCCTCTGATGCTGCCTGGCCTGCTGTGTTCCTCCAGCTCCACACCTTGTTATAATATTTAGGAACAAGCTAGGTTATTGAAGATGGTTGAAGGAAATGAGGAACCTAGGAATACAGATTCAGAGCAGACAACATGGGATCGAGACTGCTTCCTGAACTGACTGAATTACATACTAATTACAGAAATGTTTACTGCAACTTACCAAGATGAAAAAGTACCAGACCTGTGGTATTCCATACTCCCCAGGGAACACAGCTTCCACATACCAAGTGACCAAACTGTAACCAACTGAATCAAATATCAGCATTGCCATTGATTGAGCAAGAGTAAAATTGTCATCCACATTGACGGGCGTGTTTATGTTTGACCACTGTATACCCGTACCTTCAAGTAAATAAAAAAGAAGAAATCAGAAAATAAATGTTAACAGAAAATACTTGAACCATCAGCATTAACACTGAGTGCAGATGAATTGTGTGGCTTTTCATAACCACAGTCTGTGAAGGTCACAAGAGTCATTATTACAGTTATCTGTAATTCTCATTTTGTGCACATCTCCCCTCTCCCCATTTGATGATGGCCTTTGCAAAAAAATCAGTCTGAACCCACTGGTATTTAAAACACATTGGTTATCAAACAATATGAGGGTCCTGGGTTGCAGCATAGTTCGTTCTGGGCTGCATTTGCCACAGCTTTTGAATAGAAACAGTGTACGTCAATGTATAATCAGAAAAAATTAAGCATATTTCCTATTTGGGGAGGATCTGTATTGTCTCACTGTCTCCAAAGATATAATTTCTCAACATTTATTCTGCATGGGCGAACGAGAAACCAAATGCTAGAAAATATTTAACACACAGCTGTGGGATTGAAGCAGCTGTTGCACGTGCCTGACCGTGCGGAGGGTAAGGCAACACAAGAAGGAGATGAGAGAGGGCTAAGGCACTTGAGAAAGAGTCAGGGAGTGTCAGGTAGTTTGAGGGTGGGTGAAGCAGTGTGAGACAGTGAGGCAACTTTAGAGAGGGTACGCAGCCACAGATGATGAGAGAGAAATTGAGGCAAGGTGAAGGGTGAAGAGAAGGCAAGGAAGTGTGAGAGCAGGATGAGGTATTGTGAAAAAGAGGAGGCAGTGTGAGTGAGGGTGAGTTAGTGTACCAAGAGGAGAAATCATGGCAATGTGGAAGAGGTCAAGACAATGAGAAAGACGGCGAAAGAGTATGAGAGGGAAGAATCCATGAGGAAGAACTAGAGAAGATGAGGAATCACGAGTAGGGGCAAGGAAACAGCTGTGGGGGAATATAGGAATCAAGTTTATGATTTGATTAAATTAGATGATAATACAGGTATTTCTGCTATAATGCATGTTTCGTTAACACAAATTGGCTAGAAAACGATTGATGAATAGTGGACATTGTTTGGATAACACAAACTTTTTACTGTACAGTATGGCGATTTCCCTATAACGTGATTTTCTATAGCGCGAGGTCACACAAGAGCGCAACTATCGTGTTGTAGGAGAACTACCTGTACATTTAATAACTAATATAATGGCTCAATGCCACATAGTTGCTAATTGGTCTTGCCAGGAAATCACAACCCTTTGTTGCTTTATTGCTTTTGTGCACAGCTATTTCCCCACAGAATGATACATCAATTTATTCACTGGCAATACACAATAGATTAGGTCCTTAAAATAATTAGGAAAGGCTGGAGTGAAAGTGTGTGATACAGTCATGTATGACATTAGTATCTGAAAGAGTTCAGTTTACTAATTCCTGCTTAAAACAAATCAACCTCAAGGAAAAGGGTCATCTTTCATCAGTGCTCCATGATGGGACAACTCTGCCAAAGTCAAAATATACCGAATGGTCAGAAAGCCAAATATGGTCCATACTCAGGTAATCCCTCTTGAGGAGAGGCCAATCATAAGCACAGCTGCAAAACAGTACAGCCAATACCAATAATGAAAGGAGAAAAGAAACAGCTGAGTGTCTGGAGGGCAAAGACAGTGTGAAAATGGCACTCAGCGATAGTCAGCAACACAATGTTGCCAACTGCACAAACTGACTCAGCTCTATGGGACATGGACTATCTCGAAAGCATAAAAAGAAAATAATTACATTTATAAAGTACCTTTTGTGACTTCAGGATGTCCCAAAATGCTTTACAGCCAATCGAGCCCTTCTGAAATTATTCATTGACAACAGTCAATGTACCCAATGCAAGATTCCACAAACAGTACTGAGATTGCTAATCCGTTTTTGATGATGATTAGGTGATAAAATGCTGGCTAGTGCACTAGGGAGATCTCCCTGCTATTTTTAAAAATTGTGCTGTGAGAACTTTTACATCTCATTGTTAAACAAGAGGGGGGAGCTGTTGGGGCCTCAGTTTAATGTCCTCCACAGTATTGCAATGAAGTGTCAGTGTAGATCATGTGCTCCTCCAGGAGTTGAGTTTGGAGACAAGAGTTACCAGAAACCTGACCTGACACTTCATACTATCACTAACAGTACCATAAAAAGAAAATTTTGGCACAGAATCTCATTGCTCTTACCTTTCCCTTCAAACATGCCAATTAGCTGGCATCCCAGTGCCATGCCAACATTTGAGATCAAGCATGATGCCACTTTCTGGGGGTGTGTCATTGTATGGTAACGAGGTGCGATGAAGAAGTAAGGGATATACGAAAAGAAGTACAGGAATCCACTAACTGCAGCAGCTATATTAGCTGTAAACAGAGAAGAAGCCACATAAAATGCAGATACATACCTCATTCTGCAAATAGACAGATACATTTTGTGGAACTAGTATCTAAACTGATTCTAGTGAAGTACCTGCAGGGATGACTGGTACAGTATACATATGTGATTGTACTACAAATCACCTAATTCAGCATATATCCCTAGTTCCTTTGTTTCCAGTTTCTCCACTTGAAAGTAGTCACTTGATATGTGCCAATCCTATTCAGGAACACTTCACCCAAGTAGCTGAAAACATATTTGTCCAGCCCATACCAGGATATGGCAAAGGCACCAGGATGCTCTGGTTACTAAACTTACGAAAAAGGATTGCTCACAGTAGCCCAGGTGCCCAATCTAAATGTTGTGTTGAACCGTAACTAATATAGAATCATGGAGTAATTACATCACCAAAGGAGGCCATTCAAACTCTTGGGTTTGTGTCAACTTTCTGTCAAAGCTACTGACCTTATCCCACTCCATTCAAATCTTTTAATTTCAGGTGCCTATCCAATTCCCCTTTGAAAGCTACAATTGAACTACACTTTCAAGCAATGTATTCCAGATCCTAACTGTCTGGTACATAATTTCACTATTGGTTCTTCGCTGACCACCTAAAATTAGTGCTCTCTGGTTCGCATAAAATTATTTAATTTAAAAAGCACAGAAACAGGTTTTGGTCAGTCCATGCTCCATTTGAAACTCCTCATACCTTTCTCATCTAAATTCATCAACACAACCCTCTATTCCCTTTCCCCTCATATGATTGTCTAGCTTCACTCAAAAGTTGGTACTTTTCAATTCAATCATCCCTGTCATACAGAATTCCACATTTGTGACCCTTCTATCACAGAACAGTCTCTCCTGATCTACTCTATTTCAAGTGAGTTTGAACAGCTCTATCAAATCTCCTTCTTCCCCTCTCCTTGAGAACATAACTCCAACTTCTCTAATCTACCCATATAGCTGAAGTCCTTAATCCTTGAAATTACTTCTTCCTTAATTCTTCTATAATGCATGTTTCGTAAATACAAATTGGCTATAATGCGATTGATGAATAGTGGACACTGTTTGGATAACACAAACTTTTTAACTGTACAGTACAGCGATTTCCCTATAATGTGATTTTCTATAGCGCGAGGTCGCACAAGAACATAACTATCGTGTTACAGGAGAACTACCTGTACATTTAATAACCTAGGGGTGGATAAAGCACACCTTTCCTCTGCTCCTTACTGCCATACTCAAGAATCTAAGCTCTAAAAGATCCAAACTGATATTCAGTGCAAATGATAGCTTTAATGGCCACTTTTGCATGGTACCACTTCATTTATTCTGTTAAATAAATCACTACAATGTTACTGGCTCTGTGCAGTAAATTTTATTTCGTAACAATAAGCAAAATTAAATACAATCCAATGAATATAGCTGTCATTATCTCTGGAACAGATTCAGGGCACATACCTTGGGAGAAGAAGACACTGATCATGAAGCTGAATGAAATCGTGGAAATTGAAAACAGCAGGAGAAACACAAATATTAGGGTGGGATCACTGTTGCTCAGCACAGCTCCTTGTTTGGACATCTGCTGAGCAAAACAAGTAGTAAGAACAAGCAATTATGATGCATCAGTCACTGGAAAACCAGTAAACCCATCAAACAGATATCCCCATCAATCCAACCTCATGGACTAAAAGATATTTTTTAATCAACCAATTTAGCGATGTTATTAACATACTTCTGGAGCAGGTGGGACTTGAACCTGAGCCTCCTGGCTCAGCAACAGGGACATGACCACTGTACCACAAAGATGCCATACCCCAATGGACTAATATTGAGAAAGCAGATGATGGGGAGAATTGATTAATTGATTGGGTAGAAATTTTTTCTAATTAAACTGTACAGAGATGTTATATTACAGCACTGACGCAGGTGGAACTTGGATCCAGGCCTCCTGGCTCAGAGGTAGGGACACTACTGCTATGCTAATTGACAGGGTAGATATAAAGAGGGATCACTCTTCAGCCCCACACTCCTGATTTTTGAGTACAATGGGGTCGGCACCCGGGCCTGGCCACAGAGGCAATTAACATGTCCAGGCAGCGGGCTGTGGAGTAGTTCATAGCTCCCAACTGCCTTCCTCTCTTCTGCAGCTACATTCAAGCCTTGGTGTCCTTGGAGACGAAGCACAAAGTGTCCACTAATACTCTCAGCACTTTTAGACAGAAGTGGACACTGCAGGAGGTGAATGCCTTATCTCCCTCTCCAATTCCATTTTGATTTAGTCCTCTCCCTTTTTCCTTGCCTTTTCCCTCAACTTTGGTGCTAACACACTGCCACTAATGGGCTTTGTAGGTAAACTGATTAATTGAAAACTCAGGTGATTTAATGGCAGTGGATAAAGGTGCAAAGGAACATGGATGATTTCATCATGGGGGAAAACAATATGTTCAGTTGTGTTTGAAAGAAATTCTGGATATAAAACAAACATAAAAGAGGGATCAGGTGAGACAGGTGGAGAAGAAACTGCAAAACTTAGTATTTACTAGTACAGGCAGTGCCTGGGTTGTGAATGCATTCCGTTCCCGAGTCCGTTTGCAAGTCAATTTGTACATAAGTCAGAACACAATGCAGGACAATATAAAGCAGCTGTTCGTAAATACAGGAAATGTTTGTACATCAAATATTTAAAATTACATCCCTGTTTGGGACTGCATTCTTAAGTATGAGCGTTTGCAAATTGGACGTCTGTAAATTGAGGACCCCCTGTATCAACAAAAATACATGTTTGTTGGGAGAGTGTTCATTTCTTATGGTGTAGAGGTAGTGTGTTTAGAAAGTTCAGTCCCATCTCAGAATATGATGTTGATAAAGGCACTGCATAACACGTCCAAACAGTTGATATCAAAAATGTATCTTGGTTTCTGTCTCACTGATTGGTTTGAATCTGAACTGACATTAGTAGCAGGGCATGTTTGCCTGAAAGTGAAGTTTGGAAACTAAGAATCCTTTTCAGTAGAAAGCAAGTGCAAAGTGTTGGGATATGATATCACACCAAACATTGATGAAGAAAATTTATAATAACGAAAGATGACCTAAAAATACATATCAGGCATGGTCAGGTTTTGATAGTCTGAAAACAGGATGAATGTTCTATAAAAGAATATATAATGGAATTTAACAGACTATATGCAAGACTGAAGATAATCTATTTGGAGATTCTTAGCTTAGTGTTTGCCTTTAAATTATGGAACTGCGCCGAGGTGTTAAACATGGATAGATTCCTAGTATCACCCTGAGTTATATTTACAAAACAAAACATACTTTTGAAACAGATGTCTGAAATCCTAAAAACAATTCTGAGAAAATCATTTATTCCCAGTGGCCTTTATGGCTGAAATGAAACATTCAGCAGTAACATTAATAATGGAGGATTCAAGCGATAATGCAAGATTGGCCAGTTACAAGCCAAAAATTAATCCAAAAGGAGAGTAATAACTAACAGCAGTGAAGTCAGAGTTACTGCTGAGAATTTTGGAACAGCAGAGTGCAACCCGGGAACGCTTGGGGTATTGGTTAATGTGTGCTTTAGATGTAACTTGAAATATGATTATACGATGATGATCTTAAATGGAATAACAACCTTTTCAAAATTACTGAAGGTTTGAGATTAGAGAAGATAGTAATACTGATCAGACAGAGGAATTATACTAGTTACAAGAAACTTCAGCCCATTATTGTAGATTTTGGTTGCAGTTTCATTTAGTTGTGTATGTTAGTCAGTGGATGCACATGCACAGTGTGAGAGTGGATTGCTTAAAATATTACTAAATCCTTAAAATAAAATTGACTGAAAAAAGATAAAGGAATTTGAGAGCTATAACTCCTTCAAGTTTGAGGATGTCAAGATGCTTCCCTGTAAAACAGCTGGGGCAAACCATTTTGTCAGCACACATGTAGTGTCAAGAAAAATATCCTTAACATTAAACAGAAAATCTTTGAAAAAGGCTCAAATATGGCAAGGCAATTAGTTTTTGGAAGTCAGTGGATTTACAGTTTACAAAATCTGGATGTTACTGTATTCTTTTAACAAGACCTAACATCTTTAATTAAAATAATATGCAGGTGTTATTGGTGTGGGGACATAGGAAGTCAACGAAAATAAAGCTAATTATCTTAAAACCACATTAATTTACCCATCCATCTTGTTACAGGTTAAAAATTCTACTAAAGGATGCAGGAGGAAGAGACGATGAGTACACTAAACTTACAGAGGGGATCAGCAATGTCATAAAATGACATAATATGTCATAAATATAAGAGAATACCATCACAAACCAAATTGAGCCTCCCATTAGCAAGAAACTTTAACTAAGTTACAGTGATGGACTTGCATTTATAGTGCACCTTTTGTAAATGGGGAGGTGATGGCCTGATTGTATTATCAATTCACTGTCAATCCAGAGACGCAGCTAATTGTCTGGGGACAACACAGTGTGGAGCTGGAGGAACACAGCAGGAACGTTGACTTTTTGGGTCAGGACCCTTCTTCAGAAATGGGGATAGGGAAGGGAGCTGGGAAATAAATAGAAAGAGGAGGGGTGGGGCTGAGGAAGGTAGATGGGATGGTGATAGGTGAGTGCAGGTAGGGAGCAGTGGGAATTGGTCAGTGGGATGGGTGGGGGGATAGGTGAGAGAGAAGATGGACAGGTTGTGTCAGGTCAAGGAGGCGGGGATAAGAGGGAGGGTTGGAGATGGGATGAGGCTGGGGGTAGGGAGATTTTAAAACTGGTGAATTCCATGTTTAGGCCATCGGGCTGTAGGCTCCTGAGGTGGAATACAAAGTGTTGCTACTCCAGTTTCTGGATGGTGTCATTGTGACACTGGAGGAGGCCTAGGATGGGAGTAGGAGGGGGGAGTTAAAATGGTTGGCAACCGGAAGGTGTTGTCATTTGTCGCATACAGAGCGCAGATGCTCTAGATATGGTCATCCTGGGCCTCCTCCAGTGTCACAATGACACCACCTGCAAACTGGAGGAGCAACACCTCTTATTCTGCCTCGGGAGCCTAAAGCCCGATGGCCTAAACATGGAATTCACCAGTTTTAAAATCTCCCCATCCCCGGCTTCATCCGATGTCCAACCCTCCCTCTTATCCCCACCTCCTTGACTGGACACAACCTGTCCATCTTCTCTCCCATCTATCCGCCCCACCCATCCCACTGACCAATTCCCACCACTGCCTACCTGCACTCACCTATCACCATCCCACCTACCTTCCCCAGCCCCAGCCTTCCTCTCTCTATTTATTTCTGAGCTCCCTTCCCTCTCCCCATTTCTGAAGAAGGGTCTCGACCCGAAATGTCACCTTCCTGCTCCTCTGATACTGCCTGGTCTGCTGTGTTCCTCCAGCTCCACACTGTGTTGTCTCCGACTCCAGCATCTGCAGTTCTTGCTAGCTCTAATGGTCTGGGGACCCAGGTTTGAATCTTACCATAGCAGAGAATCGAATTTGAGTGCAATAAGAAACTTGAATTAACATTCTAGCAATGACTGTGAAACCAATGTCGATTGTTGGGAAAAACTCATCTGGTTCACTAACATCCTTTACGGAAGGAAACTGCCATCTGGCCTGGTCTGGCCTAAAAGTAACTCCAGGCCCACAGCAATGTGGTTGATGTTAACTGCGCTCTGGGCAATTAGGGATGGGCAATAATGCTGGCCTTGCCAGGGAATGATTAAAAAAAATCTTGCAATGTCCTTTACGCACTTTGCAGGCAGTCAGGAGCTTTTGAAATGTAGTCACAATTTAATGACAGCCAATTATACACAGCAAACTCCCACAAACAGAAATGTGATAGAAAAACAAACTTATAGATGGTTAAGAGATACAGGTTGCCCTATATACTGGGGAAAACTTTTCAGCTCATCACTGAACTCATAACACAGCACTTTTTACTTCCACCTGATGCAAAAAAAAAAACAGCACCTCTAAACAGCACTTCTTCAGCACCACAGCAGAGCTTCAGCCCATAATTTGTACCCAAGTCTCCGCAATGGGATTTGAACCCATTTCTTTCTGACTCAAAAGGCAAGAATGCAACCTATTGAGCCATGACTGGAAGCTGCAATATCATCAACTGGAGCATGAAGGAAATGGTAAAACTCTGAACAAAAACAAACACATACCTTTGCACAAAACAGCACAGACATGAGAAATACTGAAATTATGAGAAAGAGGAGGAATTTGAAGAACCAGGCCAACCAGTGCAGCCAGTTATTAAGTCCCATCATCTTCATGTACTCCTGGAAAAACAGTGGCAAAGGACATCAGAAACCACCCATCTGTCACATCACATCAACAATCACTTGGAAAGAAAACAATGAACTACCACAGAACAAAACACTGCAAAATATTAAGTAGTGTTTAGTTAATAAACACATCAAGATTCAACAAAAGAAGAAAGAATAGAATGTTCTGACCAATCCAAACACACACATGAACACATACACACAGATAAATGTGTGAAGACTTGGATGCACATATACACCCACACAGGCAAATTCAGATGTGCACACAAGAATGCGTACACATGCATGTGCGCCACACACACACGCACGCCACACACACACGCGAGCACGGCATTTACCTTTTGCTTGGTTTCCTTTTCCAGTACAATTGCTTTGGTAACATTAAGGGCCATGTAGGTGAAACTCAGCATGACCAGTAGTGAAAGCTGTGTTTGGATTGCCAAAATGAAGATGTCATCAGTATAGGGGGGGAAAGGGAATCGCAGCATTTCTACTGGAAATGATGGAAGCAGTTTGGCTGCTTCTTGGTTGGCATGATACTTGATAATGGCTCTGTCTGTTGCGAACTGTGTTGCCAGGAAGCCCTCGCGGTAATAGCCTTAGAAAACCCAAAGAACAAAAGAAGTGTATAAACTATATTATGAAATTAAGTAATAATCTTGAACAATGTGTCTTTCTGAAAATATTACAACTTTATCAGAATACAGTAATAATTCATTACTTTCATGCTATGGTAACAACAATCATAGATGACTCGTTACTTTAACACAATGTTCTAGTTAAATGATAACACAGCAAATTAGGAATTCAGAAATACAATTACCCTCATCTGAATACAAAAATAAATAGAGTTATGTGATCTCTATATTCATATTCTCACAGCGCAGGCCTGTGAACTTTAGCCTTTCTATGTGCTTGTTGATAAAATGGTAAGATAAAAGCAGATTCTCAGTGCTTTTGATCAGTGGCTTTTCTAATCCGTAAGAGTCAATGTTCTTCTGTGATATTTACTTTCCTGGTTACTGAATGGCGATAAATGTTAAGTGCCTAACAACATGTGAAATATATTTATATGTATTGTGCAGTGCGTGCATGGTGTTTTGAAATATCACACTCAGTAGGTTACACGTTTGTATCCAAGAAGGTTGTGAATTCAAGTCCAACTTGAACCTATAGTCCAGGACGACGCTCCAGCACAATACTGGCAATGCTGTATTATTAGTGATTCCAACCTTCAGATGAGATGGTAAGCCAAGTCTGCCATGTCAGCAAGCATAAAAAAACTTTTAAAAATAGTCAAAGAATAGCAGGGTACATTCTGGTGTTCTCAATAAAACAAATTATATGGCAATTGCCTCATTGGTATTTTCTTCCACATTACAACATTGATTGAGACTTCACTGGCAGTAAAGCAGCCTATAACAACCTGAGTTTGTGAGAAGCACTTAGAAATACAAGTTATTTTACATGGCTAAAATTGAAGTGGAAGAAAATTGCAGGGGCAAAGATTTCAAAAACTGAAATAAAAACAAAGAAGTGTGAATGGAGATCTGAAGCAAAAGCAGAAATTGCTGATGAAATTCAGTGGGTCTGGCAGTACCTCTGGCAAGAAAGTTAACAGTTTGAGTCCAGTGTGTCTTCATCAGAACTATTAGCAACTAGGAAAGAGTGGTATTTATGCTGAAGATGAAGTTCGATGGGGAGGGATGGTAGGAGTGGAGTGCTGGTGGGAGTTGTGGGGAAATGAGCTGATAGTTGGAGATGGAGCCCAGAGAGGGAGAGATATGAAAGGGATAAATAAAGAAAGAGATGATGCATAGTAGGCCAGGACGGAAAAGCTGAGTATGAGACAATTCAAGTTGGACTTGAATTCACAACCTTCTTGGATATAAAAGTGTAACCTACTGAGTGTGATATTTCAAAACACCATGCACGCACTGCACAATACATATAAATATATTTCACATGTTGTTACACACTTAACATTTATCACCATTCAGTAACCAGGAAAGTAAATATCACAGAAGAACATTGACTCTTAGAGATTAGAAAAGTCACTGATCAAAAGCACTGAGAATCTGCTTTTATCTTACCATTTTATCAACAAGCACATAGATGGCTAAGAGTGGGAGAGAATAAAAGCAATCCATATAATGTGACAATAGGTCTAGAAGTAGGTGGGAATATGTGACTGTGCTAAAAGTAACCCATGTCATAACAGAATTGGGTGTGGAGTGAGGGAAAAACATGGAAGGATGGAACCAGGCTCTACAGTTTTGAACTTGATATTGAGTCATAGAGGCTGCAGGTTCTCCAGTGTAAAATGAGATGTTGTCTTTCCAGCTTGTGCTGAGTCTCAGTAGAACACTGCAGCAGGCTTGCAACAGAAATGTTGGCGTGAAAACATGGTGGTTCGTTGAAGTGGCAGGCAACTGGAACTTGGGGCCATTTTTTGCAGACAAAATAGGGCAGCACGATGGCTCAGTGGTTAGCACTGCTGCCTCACAGTGCCAGGGACCCAGGTTCGGTTCCAGCCTCGGGCGACTGTGTGGAGTTTGCACAATCTCCCCGTGTCTGCGTGGGTTTCCTCCGGGTGCTCCGGTTTCCTCCCACAGTCCAAAGATGTGCAGGATAGGTGGATTGGCTATGCTAAATTGCTCATAGTGCCCAGGGATGTTTAGGTTAGGTGGGTTAGATGTAGGAAATTAGGGGAATAGGTCTGGGTGGGATGCTGTTTGGCGGGATGGTGTGGATTTGTTGGGCCGAATGGCCTGTTTCCACACTGTATGGATTCTATGATCAATGAAAACATTGGTGTTCCGCAAAGTGGTCACACAGGCTGTGTTTTGTCTCCCCAGTGTAGAGAAGACCACACTGTGAACAGTGAACAAAATACACTGTACTGAATGAACTGCCAGTAAATTGCTGCTTCACCTTCACCTAGGGCCTTGGATGGGTGGAGAGGGAGGAGCATAAATACCAGGAAAAATACTACTTTTTCTTAACTGCTGACAGTTCTGATGAAGAGTCAGTGAGCTCAAAATGTTAACTCTGTTTTCTTCCTACAGATGTTGCCAGACCTACTAAGTTTTGCCAGCAATTTCTGTTTTCGTTTCAAATACTGAAGTCTGTTCTGTCAATCTCAGCCTGAAATGTCAAGGCAAATTTGACGGCACAGAAACAGCAAGTGTGACCATCAGTGACTGAGTATGACCTGGAGCACTTAACACAAAAGGTAAATCTAAAGAGAACTCAGTATCTTCCCTGTTGCAGACTAAACTCTTGCCTAAGAGAATTATATATAACACTGGACAAACATCAGAAATAGAAAAACAAGGGTTAGTACAAGGCAGAACTTGCTTAATAACAGATAACCAAAGCTCCACACCCAGTCCGGCTAAGGGTGCAGAATCTGAGTAGTGCATTGCTCACATCAAAGAAATTTAACTCTCACTGTGCCTTGCTCTTCGTAGAATGAAACATTTGAAACTTTTCTCTCCCATCCTGTACCAGTGGATGTCATTAGGACACAGGACAGGTGTGTCCAGATTTCAACTTCTCTGTCCACCTGGCCTGCTCACCTGTATGAATGAAGCTGTAGAAGGGCCAGTGCTGTTAGCTCACCTGGACTGCCTCCATCCTTGAAGTATTGCTCACGAGGCCCAGGTACCTGAAGCAGTGGGAAAAGGGACCGAGTGTGCCAGTCTTTATCTCCGTTTGGATTGAAAGAGCTTAGTTCCCCAAGGGGTGCATTCAGAGGACTGTATTTAAACCTTAGGTGGTAGTTTACCTAAAAAGACAAGAATCAACAATCACCAATTACATAAGAATTCCGGTTGACCTTTCTTTCTCACCAACATGATAAAACAGATCAACCATCATCTCGACACGCAACATTGCCATTATTTTGTATTTATCTGATGCTGTTTTAACCAAGCAACACTCAGAATAGGTCACTCCAAATCTCATGTCCCAGAACAAAACAGCAAGTCAGAAAGACGAGTACAAGGAAATCCTGCAGCCTGTACTACACAGCTCAAACACCCTGATTTAAAGCAGCACACATTATGGTAGAGAAACAATTCGAGTTGTTTTTTAATTCATTCATGGGATGTGGGTGTCACTTGCTAGGCCAACATTTATTGTCCATCTTTAATTGCCCAGAGGGCAGTTAAGAGTCAATCACATTGCTATGGGTCTGGAGTCACATGTAAGCCAGACAGGTAAGAATGGCAGATTTCTTTCACTAAAGGACATTAGTGAACAAGAATTTTTTTCCTGACAATTAGCAATGGTTTCATGGTTATCATTAGACCCTTATTTCCAGATTATTATTGAACTCAAATTCCACTAGCTGCCATGGTGGGATTTGAAGCCAAGTTCCCAGTTTAATATTGAATCAGAGATAGTAGGAACTGCAGATGCTGGAGAATCCGAGACAACAAGGTGCAGGGCTGGATGAACACAGCAGGCCAAGCAGCATCATAGGAGCAGAGAGGCTGACGTTTCGGGCCTAGACCCTTCATCAGAAAAGGGGGAGGGGAAGGGGGTTCCAAAATAAATAGAGAGAGAGTGGGAGGCGGATAGAAGACGGATAGAGGAGAGGATAGGTGGAGAGGAAACAAACAGGTCGAAGAGGCGGGGATGGAGCCAGTAAAGGTGAGTGTAGGTAGGGAGTTAGGAAGGGGATAGGTCAGTCCAGGGAGGACGGACAGGTCAAGGGGGCGGGATGAGGTTGGTCAGTAGGAGATGGAGGTGCGGCTTGAGGTGGGAGGAGGGGATAGGTGGGAGGAAGAACAGGTTAGGGAGGCAGGGACGAGCTGGACTGGTTTTGGGATGCGGTAGGGGGAGGGGAGATTTTGAAACTTGTGAAATCCACATTGATACCATTGGGCTGCAGGGTTCCCAAGCGGAATATGAGTTGCTGTTCCTGCA